GCCTCAAGACACACAAAGTAATAAGTCCTCAGAACACACACAACTATGGGGCCGCAGAACACAGACAGAAAAAAAAAAGCCTGGAGACACACACTGAAATGTGGCCTTGGAACACACAGAAAGAAGGCCTCTTTTTCTTCTTCTTCCTCTCCTCTTCTTTTTTTTCTTGTTCTTCTTCTTCTTTCTTGTTCCTTCTTCTTCTTCCCTCGTCTTCTCCTTCTTTTTTTTTTCTTTTTTCTTTTTCTTCTTCTTCAGCTCCTCCTCCTCCTCCTTCTTCTCTATTTTCATTTTTCTTCTTGTTATTCCTCCTCCTTCCTCTTCTTTTTTTTTTTTTTTTTTGGGGGGGGGGGGGGGGGGTCAGCGTGGTGTAGCGGCTAGACATTGATCAGTCACTTCCTGCAGAGCAGAACTTTAAAAAAAATGTATCTTGGCTTCCACGTCGACCAAACCTTGAATGGGTACCAGCTGATCACATCACCCACCAAGTGTCGATTGGTTGACTGGTCTTTTAAATACAAAGGCGTGGAAAAGCGTCCTCTACTTCTTCTTCCTTCTCCCCCCTCCCTCCCAAACCCCTTTTTTTCTTTTTCAGTCTTTCTTAAATTATCTGTTCTGAACAATTATCTGAAGTTATTAGTTTTGATGACAGTAAATATGTCTTACTGATCTAATATAAATGCTATTATTTTAATGCATTTCTTGTATTTTTTTTTTCTTTTTTTTTCAGATGCTGTTCACTTAAAAAATCTGATGAAATCTCTTTATCACGAACAACAAGTAGCAGTCAGATTAGCTGGTGAAACATCGGATTGATTGGAGGGTTAGAGAGGAGAAGGCAGGGCTACATTCTCTCTTTATCCCTTTTTAATTTATCTGCTCAAAATATTATGAGAAATGCAATTAGTAAAGAGGCATGTGACAGCTTTAGTCCGTTTAAAAGTTGGAGGTCAACCTATTCCAGAACTCAGATATACAGACGACACAGTTCACCTTAATGATACTGTCTGTACAAGACTTTGAAACAGTATTCTTGAATGTCAGAAGCACGGTGAAGAAATGAATCTATTTCCGAATCTGAGAAAGAAAGAAAAACCACTCTAATAATGTTCATAATGAATACATCACACCAACCACATATTAAAACCATGAGATTGCAAATGTCAGATTTTGAATATTTAGACTCAATAATCAACAATAATGTCGACTACATAAAAGAAGTCAGAAGCAGATTTGCTTCAGCAATGAAAATGCTAAACAGCACGAAGAGCCTATGGCAAAGCACCTGCAAGCAAGTTAAAGTAAGAACTTTGAGATCATGCCTCCTTCCTGTGGCAACTTAGGAAGGTGAGTCATGGACTCTCTTCTTTGGAGAGGAAACCAGAGCTTTCGAATTGAAATGCTAAAGAAAAATTCCAAGAGTAATGTACCAAGATGAGGAGAAAAAACATCTTCATGACCTAAACAGCAAAGGGAACTGGCTCATAAACAGCATCCTCTCCCGAAAGCTGAGGTATTTTGGCTATGTCGATCGTCATGATGGTTAGGTGAGGATAATGATGGAGAGTGAACTTTCCTGTAAACGAGGCAGAGGTTGACCACTGCGAAAGTGGATACAGGACATTTAAGATGTATTGGCTATAAAAACATAGAAGGCTGGAGAATTGGCTAAAGACAAGAGATTTTCAGGAGTGCCGTGAATAGAGAGACGTTCTGCACAGGACAAGCCGACTGATTGGTTGTTCACATAGAAGACATTCAGTGATAAATGTTGGGACAATCTGTTGATATATATTAAGGACCAGTTACGATCACGTTATCAGTTTCGTTCCAGATTCACGACAGACATGTTACTCTGCAATTTCTTGTTTCTTAGCAAGTTAAAACCACACAAAATGCATATCACTGCCCCACTTGAACACCAGACAGACAGCAGTCCCGGAAAATACCAGCATTGTCACAAGAATTAGTTTGTTCTTGATGGAAGCAACAGCCATGAAAAGCCAGCAGGTGTGCACACGCATTTCTGCATAAGGCATATCGCCAGTTCAGTGCCAGTAGCAAACCACCATTTTTCAAAATATGCATTTCACAACAGAACTCACAAACCGAGAACGAGGTATGCCAAGAACTTGCAAAACAATGAATCTAGAACAACATGGTGTAGTTTCCTGGACTCGTGGTTGCTCACCTGCCAAGTGGCACCTGTTGTTTGTACTGAGAGACAATACCGTGACATGTTATGTTTTGGTTTGATCTATCAAGGGTGGCCATGTCTTCAGCAGATACTTGCAGTAGCAGGTAAGTTTACTAGAACAATATTCTTCTGTCCTTCCGTCTTCCTTCTCCTCTTCTTTTCCAACTCCTTCATTTAAAGCCTCTACCATGTAGATCTGTCAAACGGATGCATGCAAAAATTCAATTTCTGGAACAAAATAACTCCAGAAGTGGACGAACAACCAAAACTTCCGCTGGACTCTACAGATGGTGAATTCAAAGAAGAAGAAGATATCATGGATGAAATCCAGTCTGGTACAGTTGGCTTTTCTGTCCGCAAGTTTCATTTTAGAGTTTATTTTGGACATCCTTGTTGGGTTGAGTCAAAAACTGACATTATAGCACTCGGGGCATTCCCATACGCGCTTCGTCCCCATCCTCAGCAGCCAGCAGGAGAGTTCCAGTACTAATTGTGCCGGTTGTTGTCTGGTTGTATGTCCATTCTGCCTTTCCTCTGAGCGTAGTGTACCGGCCAAACCCTCTGGTCCCACCCAGGTGCATCATTCTCTCCAGCCCATAATAATCTAGTTTCTCTTCTGACTTCTTTACTTGTTCCCAAAGGGCTCTGACCACATCTGCCTTGTCATGTATCAGTTCTTTACCCAGCGGTGCAGATCCAGCAAATATGTCTGTCTATTCATTCCCCACCACTCCGGCATGGCTTGGCGAAAAAATCCAAAGTAAGCTCGTGTGCCTTGTCAGTGCTTGTTTGGTACTCCGTCAGCATCTGAAGGCATGGCCTTCTGATCCTCATGCGAGCATCAGCCGTTACATCACGTCGGCTTCCTTGAGTGAGTATACATCTGCGTGTGTTGGAAAACACATAAAAATGCATTCCCAGGTGGGCTTGCATGCGTGTGCGTATTTATACGCGCGCGCGTGCGCATGTGTGTGTGTGTGTTTATGCAAACATGTATACATGCATTTTCACAGAGGCGTGCAGATGCCCATTTTCGTGCTAGTCGGTGTATGCCTGTCCTTGCTGGTACTGTACCTTTCTGCTAATGTATTCTCATCCGCGCTGTTGCTTGATATGGTCAAAATGTTTCAGTTTCAGAGATAAGATGCTGTTTGCTAGCCAATATTTCTTTGATGTTTAGATCCTTTATGATGTCAGTATTTCTTTTCTTCTTGGTTCTTGGCTCTGCGGATTTTTCTATGGTATTTCAGCTCAAAGGGAGTCGCCGTGACGTTGGCGGCTCGACGCCCGGCTGCGGATCGGAAGGTCGCGGGTTCGCGTCCTTCCGGAGCCGGACGTTTTGTTTTAAAAAATGACCTTGACTCTCAGGTTGACCCAGTTTTGATAGTCTACCAAATGCAGACCTGGGAAGAAAAGTCGGCCTGTGTAATGCTGACCACATCACCCACCAAGTGCCGATTGGTCTATTATTTAAAAAAAAGGACTAGCCCTATATTCCCAATACGCCTAAAGGTGTGGAACAGGGTCTCTTTTTACTTTTACGTCAGCTCAAATGAACTTTTTTCCCACACCCGTTTGTTGCTATAGGAAAGATGCCTGCTGTCAACGTTGTGACGTTTAATGCTGTTCAGTCTTTGTATCGCAGAGGCCAACCATCCTCCCTTTAACTTATATTGAACAGTCTCTACTGATGTTTAACGGGCCTGCATGGTCTCGAGGCATGATGTTCGCCTCGAGTGCTAGAAGTTCCGGGTTCAATCCCCGGTAAGGGCTGGGATTTTTTCTCGTTGACCTGGACTTCTAGTAATTCCCCCTGGTCTCTGGGCAGTGAGATCGGACGCTTGTCTGCATTGTTGCGCTCGTAAAAAAAATCCTTTGGCATTTGGAAATCGAAGAGTAGCCTAACGGCGCTGCCCGGCCAAAATTTAGAGTTAAAAATCTACCCAACGTATTTCAGGATCCTTACCGGTGCTACAGAACCTGTGCACTGTGCTGGGCTTCTTCGGACTCAGACTTGGGTTAGAATAAGAACGAAGTACTTATGGGTTCCCACCCGTGTGTCATGATGTTGATTCGTTGTTTAAAATGCAAACTTCAAACTTTTTGTATAGAACCTAGAATTTCTACGTTTGTGACATTTCACATTTTTTTCATCTTCAGCCTTTTATACTTATTTCTGAGTAACAGGCAGTTTTGTGTGTGGATATTTTTGTTATTTTTTTTTTAAATTCAGGCATAGATTTTGGTCTTCACGGTGTTTTTAGGTGGAAATGATTAAATATTCTGTTTCATTTACACAGTTTGAAAGTAGGATAAGTACGTTACTGCATGTGTTATTCTATGGACAGTTACGGGAGAAAAAAAAAAGAAATAAATTATTAAATGAATTGTTCTGTAGATTGTAAGAAAGTTACTAAATCATGAAACTTTCTTTGTGTCACGAAACTTGGTCATGTAGTAAATTTCTTACTGTCATAAAGCAATCCATGCAATAACGTTGCCGTCCACAGAACAAACCATGTTGTAACTTTGTTAGTGTCGTAATTCAAGTCCTCTAGTAACATTTTTACTGTCAAAGAACATGTAATGCAGTAATATAACCGTCCATAGAACAAACCATGTAGTAACTTTCTTAGTGTCGTAAAACAAGTCCTCTAGTAACATTCTTAGAGTCTTGTAACCGTTACAATTCTTTTTTCCCCCCAGAACATCAGCCACATCAAGGACCAGTACCCACACCATGTCCCAGTACCCACATCATGTCCCAGTATCCACATCATGTTCCAGTACCCACACCATGTCCCAGTACCCACACCATGTCCCAGTACCCATATCATGTCCCAGTACCCACACCATGTCCCAGTACCCACATCATGTCCCAGTACCCACATCATGTCCCAGTACCCACATCATGTCCCAGTACCCACACAATGTCCCAGTACCCACAACACGTCCCAGTACCCACATCATGTCCCGGTACCCACAACATGTCCCAGTACCAACAACATGTCCCAGTACCCACACCATGTCCCAGTACCCACAACATGTCCCAGTACCCACATCATGTCCCAGTACCCACACCATGTCCCAGTATCCACATCATGTCCCAGTACCCATACTATGTCCCAGTACCCACACCATGTCCCAGTACCCACATCATGTCCCAGTATCCACATCATGTCCCGGTACCCGCAACATGTCCCAGTACCCACATCATGTCCCAGAACCCACATCATGTCCCAGTACACACATCATGTCCCAGTACCCAAACCATGTCCCAGTACCCACATCATGTCCCAGTACCCACATCATGTCCGAGTATCCACACCATGTCCCAGTACCCACACCATGTCCCAGTACCCACATCATGTCCCAGCACCGATATCATGTCCCAGTACCCACACCATGTCCCGGTACCCACATCATGTCCCAGCACCCACATCATGTCCCAGTACCCACACCATGTCCCAGTACCCACACCATGTCCCAGTACCCACACCATGTCCCAGTACCAACATCATGTCCCAGCACGCGCATCATGTCCCAGCACGCACATTATGTCCTATATCCTCCACACAGTCCCTTCTGTTCGTACGTTGTGTCTTCAAAGATGACAGCACTCACAGACATAGTCACCAAGAGACCCAGCAGGATTCACCAGTTCCATCACCTCCAGTGACAGTAAGATTGATCACACTATGACAGATGCAACATCTCGTTATTTAACTATACATTTAATACCAGCAGCCACATTTTGCAGCCAGAAGAACAAAAGCATATCGTAAGAGTCGACTAATTGGGAGCTTCCTTCGAAGTCATCGAACATCTGCCTGGGAGGCAAGGGGTCGTCTGCAAGCAAATGAGTCAGATCTGTGAAACGAATGTGTACGCAACACTCAGGTTCTGGAACAAGTCCAGTGTCCATAGATGTAGTTGAACAATCGGAACTTTCCACGATCACAGCCAGTGAACGCTAAGAAGAATAAGAAGAAGAAGAAGAAGAAGAAGAAGAAGAAGAAGAAGAAGAAGAAGAAGAAGAAGAACATTGAGCTGCATGTTATATCTAATTATTAAACAGTGTCTTTAACATGGAGCTACATGTTATATCTAATTATTAAACAGTGTCTTTAACATGGAGCTGCATGTTATATCTAATTATTGAACAGTGTCTATAACCTAGAGCTACATGTTATGTCTCATTATTTGACAGTGTCTTTAACATGGAGCTGCATGTTACATCTAATTATTGAACATGGTCTTTAACATGGAGCTACATGTTATATCTAATTATTGAACAGTGTCTATAACATAGAGCTACATGTTATGTCTCATTATTTGACAGTGTCTTTAACGTGGAGCTGCATGTTACATCTAATTATTGAACAGGGTCTTTAACATGGAGCTGCATGTTATATCTAATTATTGAACAGGGTCTTTAACATGGAGCTACATGTTATATCTAATTATTGAACAGGGTCTTTAACATGGAGCTACATGTTATATCTAAGTATTGAACAGGGTCTTTAACATGGAGCTACATGTTATATCTAATTATTGAACAGTGTCTATAACATAGAGCTACATGTTATGTCTCATTATTTGACAGTGTCTTTAACATGGAGCTGCATGTTAAATCTCATTAGTTAACACCATTTTGTTATTTAAAACTGTTTTTTGTTGGTCATAAAGATCCTTTTCTTGTTGTAAAATTGTTAACATTGTAATTACATAACACAGTAAAAGATTACAGGTGGGCTACAGGACACATGAATAAAGCACATATATTATGTAAAAAGTAAAGAAAACACATTTAATACTTTGACATCATGAAATAACACCATTCCATATAAGAGAAATGAACACCACACAGACACATACGCGTACATATCCATTTTATGAAAAGATCTGAACGCAGACCATCGACACTTGTCTGCTGCAGCGATGCGAAGCAACTGACAACAGAAGGCGGAAAACTCATAAGTGAGAAAAACAAAAGTCTTGTTGACACAAACAGACACAGCCACAGACAGTGTTCAGACATTATGTTCCAGTAGCTACCAGGTACGTGTTTGACAGTAACCTTATCAGTTCGTAACAAAAATATTACTTTTTGCAATGCAAAACTTTAGAACCATTTGTTGAAATAGTACGACATTGTCTGTGTGTTTATACATCTACAATGAAAGGGGAGATGTGAAAAGTTACAATTATGGTCGCACTGCCATTAAGCTGACCCTAGGTCATTGAAACAGACACACACTAAAACTAGCGTTATGTTGATTTTTGTATGGGCGAATATTTTGACAAGACCGTTAGGAATACGGGCAGATCCTGTCGCAGTGGTGTTTTGTAATAATTAATTTGTGAAGCGTTTAAACGCTGTATGTTATATCTCATTATTTACCAGTGTCTTTAACATGGGGCTGCATGCTGTAGCTCATTATTTAACAGCATCTTTAACACGATGCCACTTGTTAAAAATATTTTAAAGAGTGCCTTTAAAATGGGGCGACATGTTATATCTCATTATTTGACAGTGCCTCTGACAGAGGTCTACTTATTATATCTCATTATTTAACAGTGCCTTCAACACCGGGCTATATGTTACATTTCGTTATTTAACAGTGTGTTTAACATGGGGCTATATGTTATATCTCAATATTTGACCACGACCGGCTCCAGCTAGTGTCTTTAACATGGAGCTACATATTTTATCTCATTATTTAACAGTGTCTTTAACCTAGGGCTGCCTGATATATCTTTTTTAAACATGTCTTCAACATGCAGCTTCATGTTATATCTCGTTACTTAACAGTGTCTTTAGCATGCAACTACATGTTATAGCTCGTTATTTAACAGTTACACAAGAAACTGTGTATCTTGTTTATTATTCTTTAACATGAAGCTGTGTTATTCTTGATTTTCAACATCATCGTTAAAACAAAACTATATGTTATGTATAGTTTCTGTAAAAATATCTTTATTTATGAAGCTTTATGTTTATCCCGGTGTGGCAGTATGTGCTTAAACAATCACATGTTCGTCCGACTATGCTTACTTGGCCATGAGTACCCTAAGTTTATTTTTTCTATCATGAATTTATAATATTTAATATCGACTCTTCCTCTCAACATCAAATCGACAATAAGGCCACTATTAAAGCAATTGTTCTTTTTGTTTATTATTTAATCAAACAGTATAAAGTAAATTAGTTACAACTTGCCTGTGCTTCCGCTTAGGAGCATGATGTTAACAACAACACTCATAATAAAACAATACAGACATCGGCATCCTCATTTCTGTTCTTCTCTATGCGACAGCTTTACCTCACACTTTACTACCTATACCAGAAAAAGTATACTTTAATGAATAATATGAGTTCACTCCAGTATACTGAATTTCACATCTATGAAAATCATCAATGTCCTAATCTAATACAGCTCCCTTCATGCATGGCGTTACAGCGTTATTGACGTTCTTTGGCCTTTACTAATGTAGACTTTTGATTAACTGTAAGTATTCTACAGCTCGATTGCAGATTATAACATCATTAGAATAAAAGAAGAATAGTCTAAACACAATCAGTATTACATGCATTATAATTGCAACTGATTTGCCGGTTGATTAAAAATATTTTCTAAAGCCTTCCTCTTTAAGCATATCCGGCAATGTCACCAAACTAGCTTAATTAACTAGCGTCAGCGTTTGTGACATAGCATTTAGGTCAGCTTCTATCTAGCGACTGAAGGCTGGCAGTTCTGCTGTAATTTGCCTAGTTACGTCGCCCATTAGTCCTTTTTTGTGTGTGTGTGTCAAACTGATATTGTCACTTCAGCTCAGTCAGCTGTGTAGTGAGTAAAGTTTCATTAATGAACTTCTTATTTTTTTGTCTTCTTCCGGTCGCCATTTCTGTCATCTCATATTTAGGCTTTCCACCAATTGTTAAAATTAACAATAAACATTAGATTTGACAACAGTACTATGTATCATATAGCGAAAGCATAAAGCAAAGACAAATCTGATAAAAGGATTCATAGTGACATGTGCACTGTCTAATTTCTCATTGCTAAAATTTAAAATTTCATGTTCAGTATAATCGTTGCTTTTACGAATTGCTTTCCGTACTAATTGTATGATCCTTGACTTAATTCGAGCCAAGGTTGTAAATAAAAGCGTAAAAAGACACACCTTTTAATCACTTCGCAGTCTTCAACATTTTCACAATAGTGAATATAGTATTATATCATTAACTCAGAGTTAAGGACATTCTAAACACACAATAACTATTCCAGTCCAGGAATTAGTAACACAGTATTAAAATCCGGCTCAGCAACGAAGCATTTTTTTTTTTTAAATCACGACATTTTAACACATAGCTATTGCTTGTTCTCACTATAAATCTGTGATTCAATTCGCCGCTAGATTTATTATAAATTGTTTCTTATAAGCTTGGTTTCAGTGTCTTTGGCTGTTTTAGAATTTGGCATCATCACCATTTCGATGCCAGTTCTATCATTTGTAGTTGTTGGCTGTCTGATTTCGAACATTGTGATCATTGTTTTTGGTTTGCTGCAGTACATGTTTTTCCTTCCGACAATTAGCACATGCTATAGTTAATTCAATCAATCTATTTCGTGAGTGTTCGAAGAAGTGTTCCTCAGTTCTTCTGAGCTGTGGTCCATGAATGAGTTGTTCCATGTCAAAAGTTTTGATCTTTTTTTTTTTAAGGCGTTGTGGAATACATTTTAAACTTGTGTGGTGGGTAAACTTAATTTTGTGTCGTATGAACTTCAAAACAGACTTTTTTAGAAGACCGACTTTTGCACCAGTCAATTAATGAGGGTATCTTTTGCCTGTCCAACGTAAGAGTACGCGACTTAAATCTGTGACTAAACTTGATGTTGAATTGTAAGGAACTGTTCTAAGTCCCAGAAAGTTTCCATTGTTTTGAAGTTGTGACTTGTTTAGGAGCCCTAACTCTATTCTATTGAACTTTTATCACTACTAGGAGCTCTAATTTTGTTCCCACTCTGGTCAGCTCCGTTTACAGAGTGGAATTCTCGTTTCCAACTCGCGCTGTGTTATTCTGGCTTATTGTCTGCTTGCGTCTTCTGTTATTGAAGCTCCGGCCGCGAGGCTGCGAATGTTTGGTGAGCATAATAACTAGCTATGCCAGACTTGATTTCGCTAATCTCATCGTAGTGTTGATCTTGAGCTAGGTCCCTGACAGGTGCATCTTTTGAAGCGTATTGTCTGGAAGAAACTTGTATATGATCCCGTGACTGAATTTTCCATGTTTTCTTTGATCCTCATTTCATGAGTCCTTTTCGCTTGAAAATGACAATGACGGTAGCTGCTGCCATAGCAACAAGTATTGCAGCAACAGTTCCCCCAGCCACACCGCCAACATTTAGCCCTGAACTGGTTTCGGCTCTTGCTGCTCCTTCACTGACTATGCTGAAACGGTAAACAAGTATTCCTTCAACATTAGTTGCACTCAAAGTGTAGCTCTGGACGGTCCGATAATCAACTTACTATATCCGGATTACGATAACACCGTACGGCGGAATTCCTTCGACACATGTTAGTTCGTATGTGTCACAGAATCTACGGC